AGCAGTATTACGACATATAATTGTTTAATAGCTGTAATACGACATATACTTGTTTAATAGCAGTATTATGACATATAATTGTTTAATAGTAGTATTATGACATATAATTGTTTAATAGTAGTATTATGACATATACTTGTTTAATAGCAATATTATGGCATATACTTGTTTAATAGCAGTATTACGACATATCATTGTTTAATAGCTGTAATACGACATATACTTGTTTAATAGCAGTATTACGACATATAATTGTTTAATAGTAGTATTATGACATATACTTGTTTAATAGCAATATTATGGCATATACTTGTTTAATAGCAGTATTATGACATATACTTGTTTAATAGCTGTAATACGACATATAATTGTTTAATAGCAGTATTACGACATATAATTGTTTAATAGCTGTATTATGACATATACTTGTTTAATAGCTGTATTATGACATATACTTGTTTAATAGCTGTATTGTGACATATACTTGTTTAATAGCAGTATTACGACATATACTTGTTTAATAGCAGTATTATGACATATACTTGTTTAATAGCTGTAATACGACATATAATTGTTTAATAGCAGTATTACGACATATAATTGTTTAATAGTAGTATTATGACATATACTTGTTTAATAGCAATATTATGGCATATACTTGTTTAATAGAAGTATTACGACATATAATTGTTTAATAGCAATATTATGGCATATACTTGTTTAATAGCAATATTATGGCATATACTTGTTTAATAGCAGTATTACGACATATACTTGTTTAATAGCAGTATTATGACATATACTTGTTTAATAGCAGTATTACGACATATAATTGTTTAATAGCAGTATTACGATATATACTTGTTTAATAGCAATATTATGGCATATACTTGTTTAATAGCAGTATTATGACATATAATTGTTTAATAGCAATATTAGGGCATATACTTGTTTAATAGCAATATTATGGCATATACTTGTTTAATAGCAGTATTACGACATATACTTCTTTAATAGCAGTATTATGACATATACTTGTTTAATAGCAGTATTACGACATATAATTGTTTAATAGCAATATTATGGCATATAATTGTTTAATAGCAGTATTACGACATATAATTGTTTAATAGTAGTATTATGACATATACTCATATACTTGTTTAATATCAGTATTATGACATATACTTGTTTAATAGCAGTATTATGACATATAATTGTTTAATAGCAGTATTACGACATATAATTGTTTAATAGTAGTATTATGACATATAATTGTTTAATAGCAATATTATGGCATATACTTGTTTAATAGCTGTAATACGACATATACTTGTTTAATAGCTGTAATACGACATATACTTGTTTAATAGTAGTATTATGACATATAATTGTTTAATAGCAGTATTATGACATATACTTGTTTAATAGCAATATTATGGCATATACTTGTTTAATAGCAGTATTATAACATATACTTGTTTAATAGCAGTATTACGATATATACTTGTTTAATAGAAGTATTACGACATATAATTGTTTAATAGCAATATTATGGCATATACTT